TTTGGGTTCCTGCGGAATTCTTCGCGGTTCCCGGCGGGGCCGGTGGGATTCCGATTCGTCGCGACAGGACCCAAAGACTCCTGAGGAATCCTGAGGCATCCTGCGGGCCCCCGAAGAATCCACAGAAAACCCGAAAGAATCCGGAGCACCTCTGAAGAATACATGAGACTCCCCCGAATTCGTTGAATCCTGAACATGTCCTGAAGACTTCTGGGTGTTTCCGAAGGGCCTCTGAAAACTTGTGAAGGTTTCCGAAACGCTTCAAAACGTTCCCGAGAGGCTTATGGGGGCTGCCGAAAGGCCACTGAGCGTTTCCGAAAAGCTTCTGCGAGCCTCCGAGAGGCCCTGAGACTTTCTAAGAAGGTGTCCAAAAGCTCCCGGAAGGCGGTTGAAACACTCCGAGAAGCCGATGAGAGCTTCACATCTGTATCTGAAAATTACCGAAAGGCCCTGGGAGCGCTCGAGAGGGCCTGAGAGCTCCCGAAGGGGCTTCTGTGAGCTTCCGAAGAGGTACCTGATACGTCCCGAAAGATCTATGAATTACTCCGACGGAAGAACCCCACATAAGAATCCTCTGGGCGAATCTGGAAAAAAAACATCACCGTCGTCCTCGTGGTTGGTGAGGCGTCCTGGCTGTCTCTTCTGCGTATATTTCCTGTCGCCTTGGCGCGGGCCCCCCTTCCACTCCTTACGTTGTCCCCATCCTCGCCCCCCTGTTTGTTCCGCGCCCCGCCACCTCCTCCCCTTCCTGTTGCATGAGCGCGCATGTCGATGTTCATCGGCGCCGTCGCCGCCACGGCCAGCACAGGCGCGTTCTCTACTGGTCACGTCGCGCAGCCGTTGGGACAGCCCCGCGGGCCAGGCTGTCGGGACAACCCCGCAAGCCGCTGGCGCGCAAGACCAAGCCGTTGGGACAACCCCGCGGGCTTCGAGCGAGGCGCAGCCGCGCTCAGGCGGAAGGCAGCACGAAGCCCAGCTCTGCCGCGAGTTGCTTCGCCTCCGCCCTGGACAAAACCGCCTGAGACTTCCTCCATATTCAGGCTTGAGGAGCCCAAAAGTGACGACAGTTACAGGATTCCGATGACCCGCTCGGATTACCAACATGATCTGCGGGCCCCATAGGGAGGGAGCTCCCGCCTGAGACTTCCTCACAATTCACTCAGAGACGAGGCTCCCGCCTGAGACTTCCTCCAAATTCAGGCTTGACGAGCCCAAAAGTGACGACAGTTACAAGGTTCCGATGACCCGCTCGGATTACCAACATGATCTGCGGGCCCCATGGGGAGGGGGCTCCCGCCTGAGCCTTCCTCAGAATTCACTCACAGACGAGGCTCCCGCCTGAGACTTCCTCCAAATTCAGGCTTGAGGAGCCCAAAAGTGACGACAGTTACAGGATTCCGATGACCCGCTCGGATTACCAACATGATCTGCGGGCCCCATAGGGAGGGAGCTCCCGCCTGAGACTTCCTCCCAATTCACTCACAGACGAGGCTCCCGCCTGAGACTTCCTCCATTTTCAGGCCTGGGGAGCTCAAAAGTGACGACAGTTACAGGATTCCGATGACCCGCTCGGATTACCAACATGATCTGCGGGCCCCATAGGGAGGGGGCTCCCGCCTGAGACTTCCTCACAATTCACTCACAGACGAGGCTCCCGCCTGAGACTTCCTCCAAATTCAGGCTTGAGGAGCCCAAAAGTGACGACAGTTACAGGATTCCGATGACCCGCTCGGATTACCAACATGATCTGCGGGCCCCATAGGGAGGGAGCTCCCGCCTGAGACTTCCTCCCAATTCACTCACAGACGAGGCTCCCGCCTGAGACTTCCTCCATTTTCAGGCCTGGGGAGCCCAAAAGTGACGACAGTTACAGGGTTCCGATGACCCGCTCGGATTACCAACATGATCTGCGGGCCCCATAGGGAGGGGGCTCCCGCCTGAGACTTCCTCACAATTTACTCAACGATGATGAGGATGAGGATGATGAGTGGTGGTGAAGATGAGTGGTGAAGAGGATGATGATTGATTGTGAGTGGTGGTGGCGATGATGATGTTTGAATGAGGATGATGCCGATGCCGATGATGATGATGATGATGTCGTGAGCGTGTGAGAGAGTGCGAGTGATGATGATGATGAGTATGTGAGTGACTAAGCATGTGAGAGAGCATCATCGATGATGCTGATGAGGTTGATGATGAGAGAGTGTGAGTGAGTGTGAGTGGGTGTGTGTGTGTGTTCCTGTTCCTGCGCGGGGTGTCCAGAGAAAACAAGAACCCCACTTTGGATGTGGGGAAAAATATTTGGGAGCTCCCGAGAAACCTCTCAGATGTCCCGACAAGCTTCTGAGAGCGCCCGAAAGATCTCTGAGATGTCCCGAAACCCTTCTGACAGCGCCCGACAAGCTTCTGGTTGTTCCCGAGAGGCCCCTGACAGCCCCCGAGAGGCTTCTGAGAACGTCCGATCGGCTTCGGAAAGCTCCGAGTGAGACCTCAGAAAGCTCCCGAAAGGCCTCCGGGATCTCCCGAGAGGATTCTGCGCGCGTCCGAGAGGCCTCAGAGAGCGCCCGCGAAGCCTCTGGGTATTCTTTAAACATCCCGAAAGTCCTCTGGGAATTCCTGGGAGCTTTCTGGAGCTCCCGAGAGGCCCCTGGGAGCTACCGAGAGGCTTCTGAGAGCCTCCGATGGGGGCGCTGAGAGCTTGTGGGGCCGTCTTGAGGGCCCTTTGGGCCGTCTTCGAGATTTCTTGGGGGGCTCCGTGAGGCGTTTCGACAGCCTCCTGGACCGTCTTAGAGCCGTCATCATTATCTGCGGGGCCATCTTTAACGCCTGCCAGAACGGGACGGCCTCGGTGCGTAAAAAATAAATCCAACGTATTATGTTTATTAGGGCCGTCGGGGCCCTCTTGGGTGAGCCATTGGGGTCTTCGCGGGCAGTCCTGGGGGCCTCTTGGAGCGCGGTGAGCGACGAGATGACGATGACCGCGGCGATGGCGACGATTGGGTTACTGATGCTAATCAGGCGGAGGATGGGGTGTGTGCGTGCGTGGGCTTAGCAGAACTCAGCAAAACTTTTTTCCCCCCCACCGCAAACACCCACCAACTTCAGCCCTTTGATCCGATACAGCCCGGCCAAAAATATGGCTGAAGAGTGAAACATCTGCTCGATTGTGTTGAATCCGCTTCCCCTTGTGGGGGCTATACCAGATCCCATTGAAGCGCGCACGGACACGGGCTCGTACCGGTCAGAGGCTCAATCGCAAGAGGCGCGAAAAACGGCCTGCGACACTAAAAGGGTCAACTCGTAGCGAAGCCTGGCGGCCGCTGTGGATCACCCTACAGTTCCCACGCCGCCCCTGGGGAAGAGGGACGAAGAGCGAGGAGGGGGAGGAGGAGAGGGCGAACGAGGAAGGCGGAGATTCGTAATAAAAACCTGCAGAGGGCCTCAATGCCGAAGCAGAGGAGCCGAAACCATGGGCGGCCAGCGTACAATGCAGCAGGTTAAAACATGACGCACATTGCGTTAGTTGTTGTTCAGGTAAAGGCTACTGGTGTCGAGCACGAGCTTAAGCTCATGCACGCCGCCTCGACACGCACAACCTGCAGACCTAGGGCCGACAGAAGATGCAGGGTCAAGAGGGGCCCAGCGACCGGCGAACTCCGACGCCGAAGCTCGGCGGAAAGCGGGCGCCGCCATCCTGCAGCTGCCAGCCTGCGCGCGGGGCGGGCCCGCGCAGCGGGATGACGATCCCGACCGCGCGCTAAACAAAAAGAGACATGCACATGCAACGGAGCAGCCATGCAGCTCGCAGACACAGAGCCGGAGGGAGGAGGAAGGAGGAGGAAGAGGCAATCGCGGGAGGAAACAGAGGACAGAAGAGTTCGAATCACCCATTCTTGCGGCAGGGCGCTGAACCGCAGATGATCGCACGCCAACCGTTCTTGGCAGTGCAGCTGCGAATCAAGTGGGAAACTAGCGCCAGCTCTACCGTGGTACCGAAGAGAGTCCAGCTGGCCCGGGCCCTCCAAGGTACGTTCCTCAAGTGAGCCGCTCGGCATCATTGGCCAGTGCTGCACTCGGGGGCCAGCAGAACCAGGAGCGAAACGCGCAGCTGCAGCAGCCGCCGCGCGTCGGCAACAAAGGGCACAGTCGTCCAGCGCCCAGTGCGCCTCTGCGACGCGGAGGAGGGGGAGGGAGGAGGAAGGAGAGGAAGCAGGGCAAAGAGAAGCGTGCGCGCAGACAGCTGACGCGCACCTAACGCGCGCATCTGCACTCGGCACTGTGATGCAACACGACGGCAGCAAAAACCGACGACTGCGAACTGCACCGACAATGCGCGAGGCGACGAGGGGCGGACAAAACTCGTTTCCCTTTGCAGCGTCACGGATTCGGTGCGCCAGAGGCTCGGAAGAACAAGCGGGCAAAAAAAACGGCGGACGGCCAGAGAGTGACCGGCCGGGTAGACGTCACCAAGCACCCGCGTAGTCGTACAATAGCGAGCCAGGGTGCAAACGCTCGCGCCGAACCCTTCTGGACAGGAGGGCGCTCCGCGACCCCGCAACGTCCTGCCGGCAAAACCCACAGAGGCGGCATCACTGAATGGGTTCGGAGGCCGCTGCCTCGGGCGCCACACCCCCGCAGGGGGGGCACAAACCCGAGGAAAGCAAGGGACCGCCCCCCGACGACGACAACGACAAACGACGGGGGAGGGAGGAGAACGAGGACGAGGAGGAGGAGGAGGAGGAGGAAGCGGGAGGAGAGAGAGAGAGAGGGGGAGACGAGCGGCCCCCTGCCCCCCAAGGCGCGGGCCCCCCGGGGGGGGCACAGCAGTCGCCCACTGGCTGCCAGCGCTGGCACGAGCACCGTCAAAGAGACGAGAGCGCACTGGTGCCGACAAAATGCGCCAATAGCAAAACGCACATGAGCCAGTATGCCGCGGGCCGCCAGACAAGAGGAAGGAGGGGGGGGAGGGAGGGAGGGAAGCGAGGGCGACCGGGCATAAATCACGGAGCTGGCGCCGAGCCCGCCACGCCCCCTGCGCCCAGACGCGCCCCAGAAGCCGCTCGGCAGGGGCGCGCCCGCTCACCGCCTCCCGCAGGGCCTGCTGCAGAGCGCGCCCCGCTGCTGCGGAGCACAGCCCGCCGACCTGCCGCGCCGCGTTCGTCGCCCGGTAGACTGCGTACACGCCGAGCGCCGCGAGAGCGAGCTTGTCGTCGTCGCGCGCCTGCTGGATGTGAACGCCCAGCCACCACGGCAGCAAACACTCGGACTCCATCCGCAGCGACGCGGCATGAAATCGGCGAACAGCGCTGCACCTGCAGTAGTGCTGGATGCTGTCCTTCGCCGCCAGGCTGCACCCCAGCATGCAGATGTCGTGGGGCTGGTCTCGCTGTTGGAAGCGCCGTGCAGTGCACCGCCCATTCCACGCGGTCCGAAAAGTGGCGGCAATTACCCGCGGCGGCACCAATCGCTCGAGCCGCCGCCGCGACGCCAAGAACCTCTCCGCGAGGATGCGCGGGAAGCCCGGCAGAGTCCAGTACGAGAGCTTGTGGCGAACGCGGAAGTGAACCCTGTCGGGCTCCAGCTGCGCCAGCTCGCGCCGCAGCTCCGCCTGCAACTTGTGCCGCGTGGCTGCCCAGTGGTCGGCGGTGAGGCTGCGCGCGTCCTCGTTAACCAGAGCAGCCACCGCCCGCGCCGCCGCGACGCCCTTGCTGCGCATGTACTCCTGGTTGCTGACGAGCACGCCGAGCACGGAGGCCTGCAGCCTTTCTGCCCAGAGAGTGCAGCGCGCGCGATGAGCGTCGCCAGCCCACGCAACTTGCACTTCGCGCAGCATGTCAGCGAGGCCGCGGGCTCCAAGCCGGAGGTCCTCATGTGCCGCGGCACGGAGTTGCGCCGCGCGGGCGAGGTGGTCCAGCCGCCCAAATGACCGAGGCATTCCGTAGTGCGTGTCCAGCCTCCAAAGGTCTTCTGCAAGCACCCAGTTCCCTGGGCCAGGACCGGCCCGGCGAGAAGCCCACGTTTCCAGCTCCAGCAGCTTATCCGTGACCTGCGCCGACTGAGCGGTGAAGCTGAGCACCGGCAGCGCGTACACGTTGTACACGTGGCGAACAGGAGACCGAGCGCGCGCCATGGCCAGCCTGCGACCCGCTCTTGGAAGCCCGCGGCTGCTCTGTCCCACTCTTCACCGATCTTCCCCGGGCCGATGACGCAACCCAGGTAGGCTGCCTCTGCCCGCAACGGGAGCTGCGACCATGCGGGCACGGCCGCCGTAACCACCTCGCGCACGGCATCCATCGGCTGCTCCCAGAGGGGGATGCCAATCGTCTTCTCCAGATTCAGCTGCATACTCGAGAGTCTGCCCCGTTCGTCCAGGGCGCGGGAAAGGACTGGGAGTTGCACCGAAACGTCGCCCAGAACGATTCCCACGTCGTCGGCGAAGGCGCGAATCAGACAGTTTGCGCCCCAGCGGCTCTGGAGCACGCGCAGAAAGAGGCCCATGCACGCTGCAAAGACAAGTGGAGATAGTGGACATCCCTGTCGAATGCCCGACGTCACGGGGAAGCCGCCCCACAGGGCTCCGCCAGCTGAAACTTTGCACGCGCTGTCGGAATAGAATGTTTGAGGAGCTGCCCTGGCTGCTTCTGGGACGCCGAAGCCTTCTAGGCAAACCTGCATTAAGCCGTGGGACACGGAAGGGAAGGCAGCCTTGAAATCCACCAAGACCACCATGCCTTGCCGGCTGCCCGCCGCGGCCCGCATCGCACCAGCTTTCAGTTCAATGACGTTGAGCAGCATGGAGCGCCCTGGTAGGAAGCCCCTCTGTGAGTCGGACACCCACACTCCCAGGCTCGCCTCCCACCGGCGCTTGTAGGCCGCCGCAAGCAAACGGTTGGCCACGCCCACCAGCGAGAGAGGCCTCGCGCAGCCCGGTGAGTGGACTGCCCCGGCCGCGGGGTCCATCTCGCCAGCGCCCTTCGGGATGCAGCAGAGCATTCCGAGATTGAATGCCCCGGGCCCCTCTGGGTCGTCTTGGTAGGCCTCGCGGATATCCGCGGCAGCAGCAGGCGAGCTCAAACCCGCGGCAGCGTCGTGCAGCACATCCACGGCCAACCTTCCCAGGCGCCTCCACAGAGAGATCGGCATGCCGTCAGGGCCCGGGGCCGAGTTCTGCGCGACGCGAACTGCCCAGGCCACGTCTGCCCGCGTCACCGCCCAGGACGCTTCCGCCTGAGGAAGGGGGCCCCTCGCCCATGCGGGGGCGGCTTCGGCCAGCCAGTTCGACAGCACTGTCGGGTCTATGTCCTGACCGCTGAACACATGGCGCCAATGCGCTGCCAGAGCAGCAGCGATGCTCTCTGGGCTCGCGGCAATCGACCCGCCCCAGTGCCGAACGGCCCGGACTTGAGCGGACCCCCCAGGTTTGAGCCGCCGGATTTTGGCCGCGATGCCCTCGCGCCTGGCCGCGGCGGCTGAGTCTGAGAGCAGCGGCAGGTCCTTGCGCAGCCCATCGACGTCCTGGGCGATATCAGCACGCGCCAGCTCGACAATGAAGTCCTGGAGGCGCTCCACTGCGTCTGCAGAGCCCCGAATGAGATCCGAAACACTGGCGCGACGCGAGATCTCCGGACACTCCCGGATTGCTCGCTCGACCGCAAGCGGGCGCCCAGTCTCCGCCGCCCGGGGGCATCGGATGGCCGCGCCCAGGCGGTCTTCCGAGGTTTCGGCCTGAGGCGACCAGCCCTTGGAAGATGCTTGCCTGCTCACCTGGCTCATGGCGCGCTTGAGGAGTAAGAGGCGCCGGTGCGAGGTGTCTCGAAGATCATCCTCGCAGCGGAGCTGCAGCCAGCGCTGAAACACTTGCGGGGCCCAGTCCTTGCTACGTGATGGGGCCGTTGGGATCTGCAGCCGCCGTGCAGCACCGTCTGGAGCCGATCGGCGCGCCACCTCAATCGGACGCCGCGTGGACAGTTTCGGACACCAGTCCAAGGCAGCGCAAGACCACGAACGGCACAGCTGCTCTGCCAAGTGCGCATTGACGCATGCCCTGTCCAACCGCGACGCGCATTGCGCTGCCCTGCGCGTGCACTCCGGCTGGAAGACCTCGTAGAAGCCGTGGGGGTCGAACAGCGATGTCGCCCACTCCTGGTGTTCCTGCACGTTGGTGCCTGGAGCCCAGCGGCAATCCGAGAGCGAAAGCCGATCTCGCGGCTCCCGCACGAAGTTCCAATCGCCCAGCAGGAGCGCAGCTGCGCGAGACCTGGGGCGGAGCGCCCTCGCGAGAGCACCCCTGATGGCAGCGCGCTGATCCTGAGCCTGGCCGGTTGGAAGGTACAGCGCACCAAGGTCCAATGATCCTCGCGGCCCGTCCAGTTGAAGAACGGCTGCGCGACCATCTGAGACCTCTACCCACGTCGCTGCAGAGGAGCCCCCAAACTTATCTAGAAAGGATGTTTGCACAATAATGCCAATGCCGCCGATAGTCTGCGTGCCATGCGACCACCATGAATGGGTGCCCGACGGAAGGCTGGCGACGGCGACGCTGCCAGGCGAGCTGCGAGTCTCCTGCAGCGCCAGAAAATCAGCTCGGCTAAGAAGACGTACGCGCTGAGCTTTTTCCCACCGATGACGCCTCGCACTTCTGCAGAACAGTGCCTGAGAATTCCAGCTGCGGCCAACCACGTCTCCGACGCAGGGCGACCCGCGGTTAGCGCTGTCGAAGACCCTGGAGGAGGGGCGGCCGCAGGCGGGGCTTCCTGTGCATGAGGCCCTCCAGCGGAGCCTTCAGTATTCTGGGCCATCGGAGTCATCAGAGGCCGCGCAGAACTTGCCGAAGAAGCTCCTGTCGCCGACAAAGTGAAACAGGGTGTCGAAGCAGATGGAGAGGAATATGAACAGAACGAGGTAGAGGGAGAAGAAGACGAATAATATGAATTCGAAGGACGCCTGCGGGTTGATGCTGAATTCGGCGCCAGCCTCTCGAGCCGGCGCTTGCCCCGTCGAAGCGAGCTGCCGCGATCAGCCGCCGGGCCTGCGACGCTGGCGGGCGCGAAATGCCTCGGCAGTAAGCTCTGAGCTGAGGATCTGGACGGGCGTCCTCGTGCCGTTTACCTCGACAACCTCCCCCTGGATGACCTGCTGCAGGCGGCCGATCTCCCCCATGGCTCCTAGGCGAAAGTGGACTCGACCGATGGGCTCGCCCGTGGCCGCCGCGGCCCAGGCCCAAGTGAAAGCGCCCGGCTCCCCGGGGGCCGCGCGCCGGGACCATTGGATGCCAGCCTTTGCCCCAACTGCAGACATCAAGGAAGTGAGAAGCTCCTGGGGGCGGGAACCAAAAAGACCGTCCAACTTCAGGACGCCGCAAGCCTGCCCCTGAGGGCATCCAGTCCGCCGGGCCCTGTCCTGAGCCACCATGCCATCCAGGACAGTGTCCAATGCCATTGGACGTGCCCACGGCCGCCCTCCATTGCACCGGCGCCAGCGGACCTGGATAGCCGTGAAGCCCGGATCGCCCCGCAGGATGTTCGTCAGAGCGGCCTGCCAATCATCTGCAGACGACGACGTGCGCAAGATGGCAGCAGACGGGGATATGAGGATGACGCTGCTGCATAGTTCCCGCAGGCGCAGCAGCGCGGCCGTCGAGGTGCGCTCCAAGATGCGGCCCCCCTTCTCCGAGAGGAGGGCCTGATCGCCGATGGCCGCGTTCTGCAGCAGCGGCGAGTGGCGCAGCTGCTGCGCCAGCATGTGGACGCCAAGATCGGAAGACGAACGACGATCCACATTGATCTTGATAAGCACCCGCTTGGCTGCAGGCGTGGAGCCAAGGCTTCTCCTCGTGCGTAATGTCTGCAGCCGTAATCTCCGCCAGCGCACGCCTGGCCTGCATGCTGCACTGCGCGCCCAAGCCCACCCAGATTACGTGCGAAGAGGCGTCAGAGAAGAGAGCTGGGCGCCATGGAACTACCCTGGGCTGAGTGGGCCCGCCACTACGGGCCACCCGAAAGATCGAGAATGCCTTGTTCACGGTGGAGGCCGCGCCATGAATGGTCGCAGTGATGAGCGCAGGCTCCGCGAGGTGCACCACGTCAGCGGTGAGGTGCGACCACCTTCCGGACAACAGCGGGCTCCTCCAAAGATCCTCCAGCATGGCCGCCTCCCCAAATTCAGGCAGAGGCTCGCGCTCGCAGATGATCAAGAACTGGATCTCCAGCCCACCGCGGAGAAGGGCATGTTCGATGCTGCCCAGCATGCGATGCAGGTGCTCGGTCTCCCTGGGCGCCCAGATAATGAAGCCATCCTTACTGGCGATGGCCAGCGCCGTCATGGCCCGATCCTTGCCCCCGCACATCTGCTCCATAAACTGCCTGGCATCCGCGACGGAAAGACGCCCGCCCTGACCGGGCGCCCCAGACTCCGAGATGTCCGACAGCCACAACGCCGAGGCCCACTGACCACGCCTCCCTCCAATAATCTGGCCCACCCAATCCACTAGCGCCCTGGGGGGCTCCAAATACGGAAGAAGCAGGCGCCCTCCCGCGCGCCTCTGCCCCCGGAGCGCCGTCGGAAGCTGCCGCAAGCACTCCTCGCGCGCCTCCTCGACACGCCTCTTGGCCACCGCTGCTGTTGCAGTGTCTGCCGGCGGCCAGCTCGTGAGACCAGCGGCAGCGGCCAGCACCAGCCTGGCTCGATGTGCACGGTCCTCGATGCCAGCGATGTCTGGGCGGGCCCCTGATGTCAGGTCGATGCCCAGCTGACGCCAGCAAGAAGAATCCGCAGACAGGTCGTGCCCAACCATGTGCAAGTACGATGTGAGCGTCGCCCATGTCCGGAAGGCTTCCTCTGCCGATGGGGATGCGTAGCCCCTGCTGCGCACCCTCTGGAAGGGTGCCCAGGCGAGCCTGAATGAAGTCTGCGTTCGCCAAGATCGTCTCCTCCGACCACTCCGCCCAGCCCCGCGCCACCCGCTGTTCAGCATTCACTGCCGATGCGGCCGCAAGCGCGGCGGCTCCGGCGGCAGCATCTGACGCCCCGTCGATGTCGATGTCGCCGGCGTCGTCGTCGTCGTCGTTGATGTCGAGGTCGCCGTCGTCGTCGTCGTGGATGTCGAGGCGCTGGGCGTCCTGCGTCAGGCCACTGTCGGCGGCAGCGGCGGCCATCGCGGGGTCCCCAGCGGCCGGGGCGGCTGGGGCGGCCGCGGCGTCGTCCAGGGCGGCTGCGCCAGCTCCTCCCAGGGCCGCTCCCTGTGGCTGGTGAGCCGCGCAGAGGTCTGCGTCCGCGAGGGCGAGGCCGTCGACTCCGCGAGCAAGGCAGACCCGACAGCGCTGCGCCATGGCAAGGCTTACGAGGGCAGGAACCGGAAAGCTGTCGGTTTACCCGCAGACGAGAGCACGGAGCACGGAGCACGGCACAACTGAGCTATATCAGGCTTGGGCTTGAGCACTTGAGCCAACAAGCTTGAGCCAGCGCTGAGCCAACAGAACTCAGCAGAACTCAGCAGGGTTTAGCAGAACTCAGCAGGGCTTAGCAGGACTTGCCAAAGCTCACCAGGACTTACCAAGGCTTACGAGGGCGTATCAGGCCTTTTCAATGCTTACCAAGGACCAGCAGGGCTTCGCCGGGTCTAGCAAGGCTTAGCAGAGCTGAGCGGGGCGAAGCAGACCAGAGTTTGCAGGGCCTGGCAGAACCCAGCAGGGCGCTGCAGGGCTTAGCACAGCCCAGCAGGGCGTACCCGGGCGTGGGAGGGCTTGTCAGGGCTTACCAGCGCTTACAGCAGGGCTTACCAGAGCTCAGCAGGGGTCAGCAGGACTTAGCAGGGCTTAGCAAATTGCAGCAATGCCTCGCAGGGCTTCGCGAGGCTGCGCAAGGCTCAGCAGGGCTCAGCAATAGTCCCCGCACATTTGCGGCCGGTACTTTGGCTGGGCCCTCAGTATCAGTGTATGAAAACCTTGTTCGGGATTGGTGTATTTCACACTTCGCCCACGGCCGGATCCTGTGGTTTCCCATTAGATTCCTAGAAGCTTCCAAGGAATTCATTGAATTCCGATTGAATTTCGCCAGGAAGGCATCCTATATGATTCCGGTTCAAGTCTTATTAAATCCGCATTAAAGTTGTAGTGAGCTCTGAATTAAATTCCTGCGAAGCCTTCCTATTGGAGTGCCTAATGAATTCCCATAAGAGGGCTTCCGATTGAATTCAAATAGGGAGGCCGCCCGCCCAAACCCAAACCCAAACCTAAACCCCAACCCAACAGCAAACAAAAACCTCCCAGTCCATAGGTCAAGTGTGACCATAATAGTAGTAGTAGTAGTAGCAGTAGTAGTAGTAGTTGTAGTAGTAGTAGTAGTAGTAGTAGTAGTAGTAGTAGTAGTAGTAGTAGTAGTGGTGGTGGTGGTGGTGGTGGTAGTAGTAGTAGTAGTAGTAGTACTAGTAGTAGTAGTAGTAGTAGTAGTAGTAGTAGTAGTAGTAGTCGTAGTAGTAGTAGTAGCAGTAGCAGCAGCAGCAGCAGTAGTAGTAGTGACAGCAAAAGAAGAGAAAGTAATAGTAGTACTTGCTTTTGTGGTAATCGATAGAGTAAGAGGAGGAGTAGTAAGTAGTAGTAGCAGTAGTAGTAGTAGTAGTAGTAGTAGTAGTAGTAGTAGTAGTAGTAGTAGTAGTCGTAGTAGTAGTAGTAGTAGTAGTAGTAGTAAGCAGTAGTAGTAGTAGTAGTAGTAGTAGTAGTAGTAGTAGTAGTAGTAGTAGTAGTAGTAGTAGTAGTCGTCGTAGTAGTATTAATAGTAGTAGTAGTAGTAGTAGTAATAGTAGTAGTAGTAGTAATAGTAGTAGTAGTGGTGGTGGTAGTAGTAGTAGTAGTCGTAGACATACTAATGGTAGTAGTAGCAGTAGAAGCAGCAGCAGCAGTAGTAGTAGCAGGAGTGGTCGTAGGAGTAGTAGTAGTAGTAATAGTAGGAGTAGTAGTAGTAGCAATGTTTGTTGGTATTGTACGAAGACGATAGTAGAAGTAAAAGTATAAGTTACAGTAGTAGTCGGACAGCTGGTGGTAGTAGTAGTACTGGTAGTACAATAATTGTAGTAGTAGTAGCAGTAGTAGCACTAGTAATAATAGCAATACTAGAAATAGCTGTAGTAGAAGTAGTAGCAGTAGTAGTAACAATATTATAAGAAGTAGAAGGAATAGCAATACTAGTAAAAGTAATAGTAGTAGGCGTCGCAGAAGCAGTCGTAATAGTAGTGGTAGAAGTACCAGTAGTAGTGGTCGCACTGGTAGAATTTATAGCAACTCTAGTAGTAGTAGCAGAAGAGGTAGTCGTAATGTTAAGATAATACAAGTAGTAGTGGAAGTATAGCAGCCGCAGTAGTGTCAATAGTAATGTAACTATAGCAGTAATGCCAATGGTA